GAACACATTACATACTGTTGAGAAAGGCTTAGTTCAAAGGCTGGTGCCTTTTAACCCCATCCCCCCTCCAGTCTTCATGCTAAGCTAAGCTAAGCTTCATATTTAGCTGACATCTATCGAACTCTCAGCAAAAAACACGTTTTTTGACTAACTATTCCTTTAAGTTACAGATTTTTTTAACTGTGTGTAACAACGTTATGCTTCCAGTTACAAAAAAAGTTTTCTTCAGATTGGAAAAGCAGTTTCACACCAAAAAGACTGAAAATTACAATTTCTCAAAGTGTGTGTATGTGTTTGGAGGTGTCTTGTAAGATACTATTTATCAACGCATTATTCTTGCCATAAAAAGCAAATGAACTGGAAAGTGAATTTGAGGTCTCATCACCTCTTTGGAAAAGTGTCGTGTTGATGGCTCTGAGTCGTCTCCCATTCTCCAGAGTCTCTGTGATTCAGTGTTGGAGGACTTTCCGAACTGTCATTCACCTTCACCTTATAAGACAACTTACCAGCACTGACACAGGTAATTCCCAAGAGAAATCTCCTCTAGATTAGGATGAAAACAAATATCATAGCTCTATACTTTAGCCACCCAGATCACAGTCAGAAAAGGAACCAAAATAACACCCAAAAAAATAAGTTAACATAATTTTGACACATAGAATTTTACAATATGTACATTATTTTTAAATTAAAATAGATTTGTCGGTTGTCTGATTGGGTAGGTCCTCTACAGAGCGCTCCCTTTTTATCAACCATCCAGTGTTATTCCACAGAAGCAGAGTTCCCATTAAAAGCTCAAAGCCAGCCAATCAGAGTGCAAGTAAGGCTACCATCGTCAAGTCCCTGCCAATAGTTTGTGGGTGACGTCTTCGGACAGGGCCGAGCCCTTAGCAACACACATGGCAGACCCTTCAACACCCTGACAAAAAGAAATAAATATAAAATATATGTAATATTTCTATATATATTCATAAAACCAAACCCAGGATAGATTTTAACTCTGATGTGTTCTCTCTATAATATAATCAAACTGTGGCCATTTTCCTATTGCCAGTCCACTTTACTTCCCTTTTTCGTCTCCATTTTTGTGTATTTTTGCAGTTTTTCAAGGAAATAAAAAGTCTTCTTCAAACCTGTACATCTTATACGCAAGTAAACAAAATGTAAAAGTGCGTGTTTTTTTGAATACGTTTTATCCACTATATCCAAAAGTGTTGCAGGCACTTAAGTCCTTCCCAAACATTGTAGGTGTTTTTCGACAGTGGAGCAGGTTGGTTTGGTTATTCCTGGATTCGTGTGGGTCGGTCTGTCTGTATGTCTGTATGTCTCTGTCGATCTATCTGTCTGGCGAGGAACGGGCCACCACCGGGACGCTGCTAGCCCAGGATGTCCAGGTAGACCGGCGTGGCTTTTCCCATGGCGAACAGGACCTTCTGAATGTCCTTAATGTTTAGTCGCTGCTGTGGTTCCCTCTGCCAGCAGCCCAGCATGATGTCATACACCTCCTTAGGACAAATCCGTGGTCTCTCCAGAACCCGACCCTGGGTTATGCACTCAATAACCTGTGGAGGAGAGAGGGCAGTGGAGTGAGACAGATGATTTTCACTGACTGATTGCTTTGGTTTGTTCATAATGAGAAACCGGTGACACTGAGCAGGCTGTCCTTTGAGGTTTGAACTAATGAAACTGAGATGAAAGAAGTAAACAGTATGCATTCTGTCTTAAATTTGTCCAATATTGAAGGGGAAACAAGATTTAATGTTTTCTGTCCCACAGCACAAAATAACAATAATCCTGATTATTTGTGGGGGTTGAGGTTTGAGATGTTGCTAAAAGGGTTTCTTTGTTGGACGTGCTCTAATTAGCCAGATGACTCATTGCTGTTGTGACAATTTGACTTCGTTATTTGTGTCAATTCCAGGCCAGTGTTGCTCAAGATAATGGATAGGGTTTGTAGGTAATGACTGCGGTTGCACGGAAAAACTGCAAAAAAACAGTGTGGTTTTCTGCTTCTTTTACTTTTAGCACTGCCGCCACATACTCTTTCTTTACACTTCAAACTTAGGTACTGATGCCAGCTCAATGATTGTTCTTTTTTTACGTGGTTAAGTTATTAAGGCGTAGAATAATTACCAACACTGCTGAACAGGAAAAATGGAAACTCTTCCCGTAAGACATATTATGGTGTCATGCAATTTCATGCTCTTGCAAGCTAGCAGCACAACAACACGGTGTCAGAACAAAGCATTTGATAATCTACTGCTATCTGAAGCCCAATTTTCTGGAAAGAATGTACGACAAACCTAATCTGTGTTTAAATAAATATGATTTCACTGAGGTGTCAACAACAGTAAAAAGCTGAAACAAAACAGAATATTAGAAGAAACCAGCTTCCACCTGTTGCATGTGTTTCGCAAGATAAAGGCACTGCTTTCTCTCTGTTGTTATACCCTTTCTTGTCACCAAAGGATGAGAGGCCTTGCAGACATACTACCTTGAGACTGAGGGGATAGAGCATCAGCTCCTGCAAACATCACAAACAACCAATAGTAAAGGCTGCAGTGGTCATGGCAACAGCACCCGGCCAAACAGCTGTGAGACAATATCCAAGTGATCCCAGGAGTAATCCTGAATGTCAGAGAATCCAGCTAATTTACAGTCGTAACCTATGGGAACTTTTGATATATTCACAACCTGCCAAGTCACATGGTTGTGGTTATATATTATGGTGGCAATTTAATTTCCTGCACTTCCTATTACAGACTTACCAACTGACAATATTATAATGACATAATCTGACATTATCTACTATTTCCAGTCAGTCATCAAATTAAAACATGGCTTAGGGCTAAGGTTAACACACAGACACACATAACTGGGATTGAGGTGTGACGCAGAGATGGGCGGTCAAACGTGACTGACGTGACTTTGCTATTTATTTTTTTATTAAAAAATATATATTTCAGGTTTAAATAAATAGTAGCTAATGTAAAAAATCTGATAGCAGCATATTATTGACATATTCTCAGACGCATACTATATACATACAATACGCAAGTGGGAGCCTCTGTGGTGCCCCTGTTTCTAACTTGTAGTTCCATACTGACTCAAGTGACATCACTTGAGGCAACTTAATGAGTTTCGTATTGTATTCCACTTCTTTTATTTGATAACTTTAATTACTGGTTACTTCGAGAAAGGTCCTGCACAAACACAATTGCCTTTAGTTTTCTCTCATTAGACCTCTAGCCAAGTTGAGACTGATGTCACCAAACTGTATGGTACTAATAAGAATTTTAACAGGCTCAATGGACTAGTTTCACAGCATACATTTTGACTTGGTAAAGCCAGAAAAACACAGGTGGGCTTCATAACAGTAACAATGGCTAGGTTCCATTAAGTGGTGGCATGACCTCCCCTAAGTGGAATGCAGCTATCATTAATACATCTGTGAGTTTCCTGCTATGACAAATGTCAACATATCTGCTGCGTAACCAGTCCCTTGGGTGAGGGAGACGTTTGTCTACATTATCCTTAGAATAGGTCTAATAGGCATCAAGTGAAGAACTCCTGTGAGGGGGGGGACAATGGATGTGCAGGGGCTTTAAGAGTTTAGTACAAAATATATGACCGCTTAAAATAGCAGCAAATTTTGGATTCGGCCAGGATAATTGTTTTAAAAGCAGAGGCGCTTACTTGTACTTAATAAAGTGCAAAAAACATGACTTTTTGTAATAGAAAAGGGGGAGTGAAAACAAAGAGTATTTTGTCACTCTGTAGCACCAGTCCCCCAACCTAACAAGCAAATTGGACGGACAGAAAAGCAGCGGGAGTCTCAGCTGCAGGGAGGTGTAGCAGGCTGGATGTAGCTGCTATAAAGAGACCCAAGCAGGAGGGGCACTGATGAATAGAAACAGTTGGATACTAGTTCATCCCTCTGGTAGCAGTAGTATCTCTGCAAAATGTTAATATATAGTTTCCCCTTTTATTCAATATAAAGTAGCTTCCCTGAAATATACAAACCCAAGACCCCATGTTTTTTTATGGCTGCACCATTCCATCAAATGTCTTGTAAATCACTTTTTACACATTTCCTTCAAATTCATATACACATATTTGGTATCTTTGCAAAGGTTTTGTGGGATGGAACAATGTTTGGCAGTTTATAATGTAAACTGGCCTGTTGGTGTGCCGCTGCTTGTTTTTCTCTGTGATATTTTGTTTAGCCAATTTCTGACTAAAAGTAGAGGGAAGCGGTGCAGCCTGTAGATCCCAGTGGAGAATGAGGCCTGTTTGAAACTAGTTCCTACAGTATCCACACAATAATTTATCAAAGTCACTAATATCCATTAAGTGTTGCTGTAATGTATCATTGTGTAATGTGTTACACAAATCTGAATAACTGAATAATAAGTACAATATTCCAATCTAACACTACCTGAGGACAAAATTACATTAGAGAAATGGATCATGGATTTTCACTTTTTTGGCTATGACATAATATGGAGCTCATCTCATTACACTGTCATAAGGTTTCGGCAGTGTAGTTTAATCAGCTGAGTGTTTCATTTAGAGTGTCTCAAAAATCTTTCTGCGCAAGATACAGTGAAATGTGGAAATCCCAATTTGTGTCAAGTCCGAGAGCATATTGATGTTTCAATTGAAATCCTTGAAATGCCAGGTTATTCTTTTAGGTCAATTTAATTTTCTCAATATGCTCACTTTACAAGAGTAATCCTAATTGAATTTTATTGATTCAAAGCAGAGCCTCCAATGAAAAAACAAACCAATCATGGGTGTTATGTAATGCGGCATCTTGTCTGGTGGCAAAGCAGCATCAATTTATCACCTCGTTGGACCAGTGCAAGTCTCGGAAAGAGAAAAAAACAACATGAGGCACTAAATTAAGATCCAAAATGGCAGTGTTCATTTAAATTTGCTATTAGTAAGCTCATGCTTTCAACTAGTTGTTGATGCTCTGTAAGGAAAGGCAAATCTATTCAATTCCTACTTCTTTTCTCTTAAATATTAACTGCCAAGTGCTACTGTTTGTTTTTTATATGTGATTTTAGATAAATACCCTTACTTGCACTTAAGAAATGTAAAACCAGACTTCCACATTTACCACTGGATAACCTGGAGCTATAATTTTCAATGTGTGCGCAGAGGCCTGCAGTCTAGCTTTCTATAATATATACAGGATGTAATGTATCTTATCTAAATGCGTCAGGCTCTCAGTACCTCGTTGTTACCCAGCTGAAACCAGGGCTGCTTCCCATAGGTAAAGATCTCCCACAAGATGACTCCGAAGCTCCAGACGTCGCTTTCCGTGGAGAATTTCCTGTACATGATGCTCTCTGGGGGCATCCAGCGGATAGGTAGCATGGTATGTCCTCCAACCTGAGGAGAAGAAAAAGAGAAGAGATCTTTATTACAAATGAAATGTTGTAGCTAAAACACAGATTAGAACATTCAGTCATCAACACAACTCCCAGGCGCCTGGGGATTAACTGTCCTTGCATGTAACTGATACGACGGGCTTAACATCTCATGAATGTCTGCAGGGCTGCTGGATGTTGACACTGATGCAATACGGGAAAATGCTGACTTATCTGCCACCTTCTCAGCATGTATTGAATCTCAGGATGTGAAATTCTTTAGGTTATGGTATTAAACCGCCCCTTTGTTCTTGATGAAAAATAGCAATCTGCAATCCATTCTCTGCAGAAGTACTGGCATTAAGCAGAGGATCAGAGTCTCAAAGCATGGAATTGAATATGTTTTAATCAGTTTTTTAAATAAATCGGTTTCAACCGGGGGGAAAAGAAACCTGCTGAATGGATCCTCATAGTAAAGAGGTTCATATGGCTTCTAGTGTAAATGCGAGTATTTAGGTTCTACTATATTTTGCTCTCCCCAGAGGAAACTACACATCAACATGTAAACCTCCTGTATTCATAAGGAGGTTTGCATGGTGCAGGGTACCAGCTGAGGCAGGGGAGATATCAGCTGTAAGCTCTTTAATGTCTTCAAACCAGCAGAACATGAAATGAAGTCTCCCTTGCTATAAATCCTCAGAGGCTGGATATTAATCGATTTAACAATCATCCATTAATCATCCTTGCTCTCAGCTTCTATTAGCTGGCATTGTTTTAAAATCTATTTCCCATTCATGTCAGTGGCTGTGCTTTAATCATGGCGGTGATGAGCTGGACAAGACTGATGTGGGAATGAGCGGCAAAGTATTGCAAGTTTTAGCTCAGAATCCTGGGGCAGTATTAATTACAGTATTTATTGTGGCGCTCAGGAGTCAACGTACACTATTGACAGATAATGTTATTAACATGCTGCTGTGATTTGATGTGAAGCCTGCTGGAGCCTTTGTAGTTGCTACTGCACACTGAACTGCTGCTGGGATTGGTTTCCATCCATTTCAAGTGTTTGAAAGTATAACAGATTGTCTGGAAAGGAACTCAAAATAAAATCAGTTGACAAAAAAAAAAAACAGCTTAGATCAGACCATTGCTAAGACCATGAAATGTGGTTGAAAGGGTTTTTTTGGTCAAAGGAAAGGTTAACTCAAAATCAAGTTGCTTTCACTTTCCATACACAAGAACTTTGACGGTGGGTTACTAAAAAACGTTACGTAAAATAAATGGATATACTGAAATCTATGTGGTATTTACTACAGATTTGTGGTGTCAACCTGTACCAAAAAGTTAAAACTGTAATTATAGAGAACTGATAGGTTTGAATAAACACTTAATATACAGCTAATGAAACAAACTTCCATGCGAGGATCCATAAAGTATTTCTGATTCTGATATGTTTTGCCACAGTAGAACCTAATACACAGTAAGGTATAGATATCGTTCAATACACTAATTTTGTTATAGTGTATGTACGAATTCTGCCTGATGATGAAAACAAACGGAAAAAACATATATTTTTAAACACATTGCAATACGTATTGTATGGCATTTGTTGTATCACTTCCTTCCTTGGTGATTTTTGCTGTCATTTAGTTTTTGTTATCTGGTTCCGTTTTTTGCTTTTTTTTCTATCTCACTGTTATCTTGACAAAAATGTCAAGATAACAGTGAGATGGACTTTTAAGCCCCTTTGAGGTTTTAATCTCCAAGTCAGTAGAAGTACTCCTGCAGCATATCAGAGACAGATCTATCATCCATCCATCATCACAACCACCCATTCATCCATGCGTTCAGTGATCCATCTAGCCGACCTTACACCATACATCCATCTATCCCTCTGAGCTAATTTTCTGTGTGAAAGGACAAAACAAAATCAAATAAACAGTCACACATATAGCATAAGCTCTGAAATCATTATTAGGACAACCTCTTGCTGTAGCTGCATTCACCCTCGCAAGGTTCCTCCGTTCTGTACCTCTGGGTTACAAAAGAATTAGATTCCTTTAATCATAATAAGCTCTTCTCCAAACTCCATTTACCAGCCCCAACATCTGTGTGCCTTCAGCTGTGAGCATTGTGTGGCATTTTAAGTATTGGGGGGGGGGGAATAAAAAAAATCAACTCACGTCTTACTAATTACCTCCTAGTTCCGTAGCGCGCTCATTGCAAATTTCCTTTGAAAGTCAAACACAATCTCTGCGTGTCAGCTTGACGCAGCAGATGAATCTTCTGGATGTTTTAAAGAAACATGAGATTTGTCAATCTGCCAAAAGGCTGCTCCTTCCTGGGCATTTATTCAAAACGTCCTCTAGTTTGTACACTTCATCAAATTTATTTGCTGAGTACGAGGCCTCTGTTTGTTTGCCTTTACTTGTCCTTCATCTATAACCTTCTCTGAAGGATATAATATCTAACATTTCCACATTAAAGTGTCTATAAACACTAGACCCAAATCTTTCCAACAATGTTCAAACCCAGACAAATCTGTGATTTTATTCCAGTAATAGTGTGTTTCACTGGTTGCGTATGTGGTTGTTGCCAGAAGCTGTCATAAACTGATTTTTAATCCAATTTTAAGACACGTATTTATGATACACTTTTTAGATCTTGTTAATTTTTTAACTATGTATTTCAACCGGATGAAGGATTTTAGTCATCGGATGTCCGGATCTTAAATGATCAGATAAACGTTAGCAGTGGCTCAGCTAGCAGGCCTTCTGGGACGTTGTTTGTCAGCCAAACAACATTGAAGAAACACTGATTTTTAAGGTGAAACTGCTTTATTATTTATATATTATATATGTTAATCACTGGGTCCATTTGTTTTAAAGAGCAGACCTCTGCGGATAATATAGTTGCTGCTAAACAACTCCCATGATCCCACGCTACTTCACAGTGTCATAAAACTTCTTATTTTAGTTATTGTTTTGATGTGGGAGAGATGCCCTAGTGGTAGAAATTACATATTGTACATTGAAATCCTGGAGTGTATTGTAACAGCTACACCGACATCCATTACTATGTGTATGTATTAATTATTTAATATAACTATTAGCTACTTTAAAACAGGTGATTTATGAAATCAGGTTGCACAATTAAAACCTAAAAAATGATTCAACTTGTGAAGACTTTCATTTCTCTAAAAGCACACAGTGTAAACAGAAAGCCACTGTGGCATGACGAGCTATAACATCCAAAACATTATTACAAACTTTTGGGGAAATGTAATTTAAAATCTTCCCACTTTTACATTAATATTAATCAGCAATTTCATAATGTGTCAGGTCAGAATCATATTCCATATTATTATATTATTCATATTTTTTGTGTTAATTTCTTTTGCTGACATTATAGCTCTTGTCTATTTGGTCTCAAGTCACACAAGATTTTAATTAGGTCAGGTCCTGTAATGATGGGAAATGAAAGTAAGTAATATCCTGTAAGGACCACTTGTGGCCACAGTGGCTGCTGTTCAGCAAAAGTTATATAACCATTATGTGCTAATGGTCACCTAAAGTATACTCTTTAAAGACCGCTTTAAATGACTGTTGCAGTAGGTGTTATTGTATGAGACAAAGAAAGCAATTAATCGTTCATCAAGCTTGTTAAGACTTCAAAAAAGTTAAACATTTTCCATTGTCTCACAAGAAGAAGAACCTCAAGGAATGTTGTATCCTCTGGATGTTGGATCTACAGTATGGTTACATGTATTTTGTGCCATTTTGGACATTGGAGCTCCTCAGTGTAACACTTTCAGTCAATAACTGTAGTGTAGAGCATTTACTGCACAGTGGTATCACAAGGCTTTATGCATTTCTTACATTGAACACAAGTCGATATTTGTACACATGGCCTGGAGATCAACAAGACCATTAGAGACAGTTTTCTACACCTATATGCTGACTCTGAACCAAAATCACACTCCATTAAGCTCGAGAATGTCCAACTTTTTTTCTTAGTAGTGTTTCAGCAAAACAAATGAAGGGCATCATTTCACTTCCATTCATCCCTTACTGAAAAATGCTTACCTAAACAAATCATTTAAAGCTGCAGTCAGTCTAACTCGTTCTTCACTTTGAACAAATTATTAGACGTAAGTTGAACTAAAAATGAGACAGCAGAAAACGTCAGAAAACATACATCAAAATAAGTGCACTAGTGACGCACTTTTGCAAAATGTAGTTATGCTGAATCTTTTTACTCCTGTGCTCACTGTGTTTGAAAAACTTTCTTAGATTTGTCTAAAAGTCCAGAGAGGGTTAGCTGAACTTACTTATTTTTCAGCTCCATCCTGTTTCACATTAATACATTCACACACATTTACACCTCAGAGCTGCCCAGTACAACCACATTCTTCTACTAATCCCACCAGGGGTTAAGTGCTCTGCTCAACTGCATCTCAGTTGTAAAGTGAAGAGAGAACACTTTTGTGTAGTTTTTCACGGATCCTCCAGTCACAATTCAGCTTCCCTATAACTTGCCAAGGGGCATCTGAGATATTAGCAGAATCTCAAAGACAAAAACATCTTTTACCTCTGAATTTTTCAAAGTCCTCCCTGCCTAGCTGAGTCCCAGACTAAACAAGTATGACCCACCACCCTGGAAGACAATCGAAGCTGTTGGTGTTTTACTTCAGAATATTAATTAAGGTAAACATAAATGTGAGAGGTGCTTTAAGTAAGGTGCCCTTTCTACATCTTAAACACACAGTATTTATTGACAGACCCAGATTGAATTTTGTGGCAGCGAGGAGGGTTGGCAGTAGTTTTCCCTTGCACTCACCCTCAACCTCATTTGCCAATGTTCCACTGCAAGCTAATGACCAAATGAACACTGACTTATACCCCACCTGGTCTCATTAGACATGCCACATTTTAGTATTGTACACAACATTAAGCCAATATTGATGCCGAGACCAGTCGCCCCCATTGTGTAAAATCTCTGGGCTGAGCCAAGCTAGGTGGGCTT